CAAATGAAAACTGGCCTTTCTTCTTTTTAGTGCTACTGTTTTGCACTCTTGTAAGACTTCTTTTACCTCACTGATATAGGAGCCAAAACCCAAACTTTCTAGTGCTGGAAAAAAAGAAAACATGTTGCTTAATTAGCATATCAAGAAAGTGTCCAAGATACAAATTTGTCCTGTTCTATAGATTCCTTACTTACAGCGACCTACAACAATTTTTTATTGCACCTTTTTACTCTACTGTCGTGAATAAAGGTCTAAGACAGATATTTTCAATCTGGAGGGCACAGAGATCATTTGGGAGGTGAGCGGTGTTGTCAGGTAGCAGGGGCTTAGGGTGGGAGCACCCCACCTCCACCAACTCACTTCGATGAGCCACCAAGCCTCTCGGTTAGTGTCAATAGGCACTGATGCTTGATGATTTCCACTTCTGGCAGCCTGTGGGTTCACTGCTGGCTCTGCCCCCCAAAACTGTTACATGTGCCGCCTCCCCCCCACCACCACCCTGAAACACAGGGGGCAGGTATTGTGTCTATATCTATCTTAATTTGGGCAGCACAACCCAAAATTGTAACTCGCAGGCAGTGGGGTGTTGTCAGCTCCCGAAGTCTAAACACGTCTGGCCTAAATCATTTTCCTTCTCCCCTCCTGCACCAAAATGCACTCTCTTAAATCTTCAGACTTGAGACTATCAGATGAACTCTTCCCTGGTTTTACTGGAAGACTTCTTGGAGCTCTCAGAGGCATCTCATACTTTACCTGAAGCATCAAGGATTGAATCTTTAAAGACATCCTCTTTCTTAAGTATTAATTACACTAAATTAAATAGGTATTTAACAAGTGATTTTAAACAAGATTAAAAATACTTTCTCTCAACTGTTCTGAACTTCAGTCTCTTGTAAGGCTATAAATTTCCACTTCAACATTCATCAGTAGCTCCCCTCACCTTAACTCAAACTGAAAACTATGACACAGAATACAATAATTCTTGGACACAGCAGACAGCTTTGTTTAGACAACTGGTTCACTGACAGCATTTGTACTGACAATTTTCTTTCTTGGGTGATCATGCCTATAATATAGTTTTATCCTTATTCTGTTTTAACCTTAAATCAAACTCTCCTGGTAGAGGCACAGTACCAAACAATAACTCACAAAACCCCTCAACTTTTATGTACATCAATTGTAATAATGTTCTGAAATTCATCTCTTAACTCATCTCCTGCCATTAGCTAAGGAGCTATGACATATCCGTCAGGCAAATATTCAGCATCATTCCATAAGTCAATTTTCAATTCTCATAAAACAACTGACCCACATACACTTAAACATAGTAAATTACTGCTAAACAGTCTTATTAAAAACTCCCTTTCTTCCAAGAAATTTTAGTTTACCTTGGAGAATGAATTTACAAAACTTTTACTCAAAAAAGAACACTCAACCTAGAACAGCCTAATTTGTTCCAACTGGAGCTAACTGCTTAAGGGACTGCAGGTAATGTATGTTACCTGATCTCAATGTCACTCCACAGAGACACTAAAAAAATATTTTTTAAAAGATGATCAACTCAAGTAGGAACATGAAGACATCCTTTTGTATGAATAATGGTTTAGTGATCATTATATCCACAATAACTCATATTTGCTTTCCTCTAGTGGTAGCACTGATTACAGAAAAAAATATCTATACACTAATACAGGCAGTCCCCGGGTTACGTACAAGATAGGGACTATAGGTTTGTTCTTAAGTTGAATTTGTATGTAAGTTGGAACTGGCTCCAGAGTCAGCTGCTGCCACTGAAACTGACCAGGGGCTGACTACAGGAAGCCGGAGGCAGAGTTGCTCTGCCCCCAGCTTCCTGGAATCAGCCTGATCAGTTTCAACAGCTGCTGAATCTGGAGCCTGGGACAGAACAGCTGGGGCGCTGCCCAGTAGGTTCCCACAGGACCAACCCGGCAGCA